CCTATAAAATGGGAAAAAATCTTTGTCAGCTACTCTTCTGACAGAGGATTAGTGTCCAAAATATATAAAGAACTCAAAAAACTTAATATTAAAAAAGCCAAAACCCCAACCAATAAATGAGCAAATGAACTAAATAGACATTTCTCAAAAGAAGAAATTCAGATGACCAACAAATATATAAAAAATTTTCACATCTTTAGCAATCAGTGAAATACGAGTCAAAACTACACTAATGTTTCAGCTCCAGTTAGAATGGTAATTATCAAGAGTACAAAGAATAATTAATGTTAGCAAGGATGTAGGGGAAAAGGAGCGCTTTTCAACTGTTAGTAGGATTGTAAATCAGTACAACCACTATGGAAATCAATATGGAGTTTTCTCAAAAGACTAGGAATGGAACTGCCATATGACCCTGCTATGCCACTCCTCAGTATTTATCCAAAATAATTAAAGTAAGCATACTTTAGAGATGAGCATACCCATGTTCATAGCAGTGCAATTCACAATAGCCAAATTATGGGACCAGCCTAGATGTCTGTTAACAGATGAATAGATAAAGAATATGTATGTTATATATACACAGTGGAGATTTATTTAGCCACAAAGGAGAATGAACTTATGTCATTTGCAGGAGAATGGATGGAACTGGAGAGTATCATATTAAGCGAAGTGAGCCAGAATCTGAAAGTCAAAGGTCATATGTTTCTTCTCATATGTGGAAGCTAGAGAGGAAAAGTAAAAAAAAGGAATCTCATGAAAATAGAAGGGAGACCAGTAGAGTAGAGGAATGGGGTCATGAGGATGGAAAGAAGAGTTATTGGGAAATGAAATTGATCAAATTATGTTATGTGACAAATATGTCACAATGAATCCCACTATTATTTGTAATTATAATGTACCAATAAAAAATTTCAAAAAGACTTGGAAACCAACCTGGACAGAAGATGCTAAACCAAGTGTATGGGTTAGAATTATCAACTGGGTATGCATTCAATGTGCTACATGTATTTTACCCTTGCCCTGTTTATATATAACCCCCAGTAGGTTTTTTCTTTTTCTTTTTCTTTTTTTTTTTTTTTTTTTTTTTGTGGTACCAGGGATCAAACTCAGGGCCTTGTGCATGCAAGGCAAGCATTCTACCAACTGAACTGTATCCCTAGACCCCCCAGAAGGTTTTTATGAAAGTTTACATTTGAGATAAATTGTTTAATAGATTGAAGATTTGGAATTTTGGAGTTTTAATATATCAGCAAGCCATTTAATTTCCTTTACTCTATTGGAATCTCCCTATCTGTAAAACAGGCATGAAATTATCTTATCACAGGCTGCTTCATAAATAAAATGAGATAAATAACCACTAATAAATAACCGTTATAGCTTATGTTTATTGAAAACTTTCTGTGTGCCAGGTACTGTTATAAGGATGTCACCTATACTTGTTCACTTAATCCTCAGAGGTTCTGTTTTCTCTATTTTATGGTTAAGAAACTGAGATCGAAGATATGGAAACTCTTTGAAAATTCTAAAATATATTAAATGTTATTAAATAAAAATCAGATATTATTATTGTTATTATTATTATTAGGCTTTATGTTTTAGAGATGTTTTAGGTTCATAGAGCGGGAGGTACAGAGTTGCCATATATCCCCTGCCCCACCACACACATAGCCTCCACCATTGTCAACATCCCCCCAGCAGAATGGTACATGTTACAGTTGACTAACACATTGACACATCATTGTCACCCCAAATTCATAGTTTACATTAGGATTCACTCTTGGCCTTATACATTCTATGAGTTTGGACACATGTATAACAGTATGTTTTTACCATTATGGTATCATTTATAGTGTTATCGTCAGGGTGTCCAGTTAGGGTTCTGGTCCTTGGTGTCCTGAACAAAGACTTGAGCAAGACACACACACAAGTAACAGGAAAATACAGATTTATTGAAGGTGAAAATAAGAGTAGTACTCCATTAGGTAGAGCAGAGTGAGCCAAGCAAGGGAGAAGAGCTCAAGGCCCAAATCTCTGGAAATTTGTGTCTTATATGCTGAGCTGTGAGGTGTTCTCTCCCCTATACAGACCTGGTGGAAGACCTTACCCCACTTGCTCCCATTAGTTATCTTATGATACCTGATTAGAATATTGTCCAATTTCCCCTCATTGGTTACTTCAGAAAACTGAATTAGAATACTTCCCACTTTACTCCCATTGGTCATTTTAAAATACTGAACATATGGTAGGAGTTGTCATGGTGATAAGTCCTCAGGGGTGGGAGTTGTCATGATAATGGGATTTATTGTAAACAGAGACAGGACTTGGCTCCTTGTTCTCTAGTGGCTTTTCTAATACTGTGTCTGCCATCTTGGTGTCCCTGAACTCTTTTTTTAAAAAAATATTTTTTAGTTGTAGATGAACACAATACCTTTATTTTATTCATTTATTTATATGTGGTTCTGGGGATTGAACCCAGTGCCTCACACATGCTAGGCAAGTGCTCTACCAATGAGCACAACCCCAGCCCCCTGAACTATAAATAAAACTGCCTGTTTTAGTCAGAATTTTTGTTACCATGACCAAAAGACCTACAAGAACACTTTTAAGGAGGGAAAGTCTATCTGGGGGTTCACAGTTTCAGAGGTCTCACTCCATAGATAGTTGGCTCCATTCCCTGGGGCTCCAGGTGAGGCAAAACATCATGTGGAAGAAAATGGCAGAGGAGAGGGAAGCATCTCACATGATGATCAGGAAGCAGAGAGAGAGCTCTACTCAACAAAGATGCCCCCAATGCTCACCTCCTCCAGCTGCATCCTACCATCCTTCATTTACCACTCAGTTAATCCTTGTCAGGGAATTAATTCACTGATTGGGTTAAGTCTCTGTAACCCAATCATTTCACCTTGAAACTTTCTTGCATTTTCTCACACATGAGCTTTTGGGGACACCTAATAACTAAACCATAACACACCCTAAAAATCCGCCATGCTGAGCGTGATCATACCTTCCTCCCCTTTACCCCTGGTGACCACTAATATTTTTACTGTCTCCCTAGTTATCTTTTCTAGAATGTTATATAGTTGAAATTATACAGTATATGGCTTCTTTCTCTTTATTATATGCACTTAAGTTTCCTCCTTGTCTTTTCAGTAGCTTTGTGGCTCATTTCTTTTTAGTGCTGTGTGATATTCCATATTCCATTGTTTAGATGTAACAAAGTTGTTTTTTTTTTTAGGAGCTGAGGTTGTGGCTCAGTGGCAGAGTGTTTGCCTAGCATGTGTGAGGCACTGGGTTTGATTCTCAGCACCACATATAAATAAATGAATAAAATAAAGGTCCATCAACAACTAAAAATATATATTTTAAAAAAGTGTTTTTTTTAAATCCACTTAACCTACCAAAGAACATCTTGGTTGCTCCCAGGTTTGCACAATTATGAATAAAGCTCCCATAACTATTGAATACAGATTTTGTGTGGACATATGTTTTTACCTTCTTTGGGTAAATAAAGGAATATTGCTAGATTGCATGGCAACAGTGTGTTTGGTTTTGTAAAAGATAGCAAATTGTCTTCAAAATTGTCTATACCATTTTCCATTCCCACCATCAATAAGTGATTTTCTGTTGCTCTACATCTTTTTAAATATTTATATTAAATATAAATATTAAAATTAGTTGTAGATGGACATGTTATCTTTATTTTTTATTTATTTTTATGTGGTGCTGAGGATTGAACCCAGTGCCTCACATGTGCGAAGAATATGCTCTGCCACTGAGCCACAACCCTAGCCCCTGCTCTTCACCAGCATTTGGTGTGATCAATGTTTTAGCAATTTAATAGGTGTTAATGGCATCTCATTGTTGTTTTAATTTACATTTCCTGGATGACTTATGATGTATGTGGAGTATCTTTTTATGTGTGTTTTTCCATTTGTATATTTTCTTTGAGGAAATGTCTATTAAGACCTTTGGTCCATTCTATAATCAGATTATTCTCTTATTGTTGAGTTTTAAGTGTTCTTCATATATTTTGGATAACAATTCTTTATCTTTTGCAAATATTTTCTCCCAATCTGTGACTTGTCTTTTATATTCTCTTGATAGTATTTTTTTTTACAGAGCAGAAGTTTTAAGTTTTAATGAAGTCCAGCTTATCAGTTATTGCTCTAATGGATTATGCCTGCATTGCATTCAAAAGTCATCGTCATATTCAAGGTCACATGGATGTACAATTGTTCCAGCAAAAATTTGCTGAAAAGACTACCTTTGCTCCATTGTATTGTCTTTGCTCCTTTTCCAAAAATCAGTTGAATATGTTTATGTGGGTCTATTTCTGGAGTCTCTATTTTGTTCCATCGATCTATTTGTCTGTTCTTTTGCCAGTGCCATATCTTGATTACTGTAGCCTTACCAAAGTCTTGAAGTCAGATAGTGTCAGTTCTTCAACTTTGTTCCTCTCCATTAATATTGAATTGACTAATCTGGGTCTTTTGCCTCTCTGTATAAACTTTACAATCAGTTGTTATCCATAAAATAACTTTCTGGGATTTTGATTGGAATTGCACTGAATTTATAGATCAAGTTGGAAAGAACTGATATCTTGAGTTTTCCTTTCCATGGACCACGTATTTAGTTTTTTGATATCTTTCATCAGAGTTTTGCAGTTTTCCTCATATAGATCTTGTACACATTTGATAGATCTCTACTTAAATCTTTCATTATTTTGGATGCTAATATATATGGTATCGTGTTTTAAATACCAAGTTCTGCTTGTTCATTGGTGGCATGTAAGAAAACTATTGACTTTTTTGTATTAACCTTGTATCCTGCATCCCTTCTGGGATTGCTTCTTAGTTCCATGAGTTGTAAGATATTATTTTAATTCTACCCGTAGTATAGATCTAAGTCCAGCAAAGCACCATTTTGTAATACAAATCTGTGTTTTGCTCCATTTGTATCAAAATTTTCTCTTTTGCCCTTTAAGGTGAACTGAGGATACCATGACAGTCACAGTGGTATATGATAACTCTGAGGCAACAGAGCTCTGTGCGGCTCAGCACCTCTACCTCAAGCCCATAGCAAAATTGATGATCAGTGTATTGCTCCCAGAAAGTATGGATCCTGTGAGGCCCTTCTCTAACTGGGAAGTTCTTGACCAGCTAAAGAGCCTCATTTGCCCTGACCAGTTCACCACAGTTCGGCTCTCCAAGAGTACAAAAGACTTTATCCGATTTGAGGGTGAGGCTGAAACCAGAAGTTTGGTTCAAATCTTAAAGGCAAAGTTACATGGAAAGATCATCAAGCTAAATGGTTTGAAAACAGACTTAAAAGTAGTGGCTACAGATGCCTTGGGAGAGTGGGAACACTTCCCCAGGGAAAAAGAAGCTTCACTGAGTGATGGGGCTGAAGAGCAGGACCATGATAAGAGCCCAGATTCCATATATTTTGAAGGCTTGCCCTGTAAATGGTTTGCACCAAAAGGTTCCAGTGGGGAGAAGCCATGTGAAGAGATTGTTCGGGTAGTCTTTGAAAGTTTCGGGAAGATCAAGAATGTGGATATCCCTATGCTTGACCCCTACAGAGAAGTGATGACTGGTGGGAGCTTTGGGGGGTTTAGCTTTGGCTTGCAGACATTTGAGGCCTTTATACAGTACCAGGAGTCAACGGACTTTATTAAAGCCATGGAGTCCCTTCGAGGGATGAAGCTGATGCTTAAAGGCGATGATGGGAAAGCTCTGGCATGTAACATTAAGGTAAGAAGTAGCCAGACTTTCTTTTATTTCCCACTTTTCAGGTGATCCTGAGTCAAAGCTGGAAGGAAGCATCTAGAATAAATTTCCTTAGATTCCACCAGGCTCTGATTAATAACTCAGGTAAAGACTTATGTTGTCATTAAGCAATGGATGTCTAGGGAGAAAAATAATCTTGATTTGAACACTCCTTCTACTCTCAGGCATGATGGTTGTTATAATCTGGGGTTCTGCTGCAGCTTCTTGAGGGCATTAAAAGATTATTTGTGGCTCCTATGAACTATCTCATATTCTGTTGTGTTAGGTTGCTGAGAGAGAGGGACACATGCAGTTTAAAACCATAAGGAGAACAGTTTATTCCCTTATTATTCTGGGAGTCACAGCTTATATTTTCAGCATGTCTGTCAGGTAAACTGATAAAACATAATCCTACCAGATTTGGATCTTTTACTTTCAAAATCAGCCTGTCTATCCAGTCATGTCATCTCATTGATGTCTGTATGCTTTGGTCATCTACTTTTGGAAATCTTAACCCAGCAGTGGAAAAGAGATAACCATACGCTCCTTTTTCTCTAAATCAGTCATTAGCGTTAGCATGAATTTGCACTTTTAGCTTTGTGTGTGTGTGATCATGTGTGAGCACTTTTGTTAAAATGCATATTTTAAAATTATGAGCTATTCAGTAAGATAAAAGACATACCAAAAATTATAATGACTACTCATATACTATTGCTCAGCTTATAAAATAAACCATTACTAGTATGATGAAAGAGCACTTCCCTTCTATGTACCCACCCTCAATCATATTCTCCTTTCTCCCCTCAAAGGTAACCATGGTCATGAATTTGTTGTTTTTCATTATCATATAGATTTAAATAGCTCTCTCTAGCTGCTTTTACATTTTTAAGCAAATCTGTTTATCTCAGTCTGACTTTCACTTTATTTATGATTTGAAAAGTAGTTTAATAATCATGGTAGTCATATTTCACATCACATTGTTCAGTTTTCTTGTAGTTTTTCTCTGTCCCCACCCCCATTTCCCATTAAGCTAACTGACTATTTTTTTATTCCTGATCATTTACATAAATACAGTAATTCAGTTGATTTTTAAAACAAACCAGAGGTAATATACTCACATTTCTAGAGTGTGCTGATGTTGGTGCTGTGATGCTGCCCATGACCATGTCAGCCAAACTCTTCAAGGGTTTTTTTTTACATCTTTATTGAAATATATTTGACATATTAAATTGTAAAAGGTCAAGTAATGTTTGATATAATTATGCAAGGGTTCTACTAAAGAAAATCTGAGTGTTCACAAGTACTTTTCAGCTGGTAACTGAGAAGCAGTGGAACAATATGGGCACTGGGATGCAGAGAGGATATTTTGAATTCATTTGGTTTCAAATTGCCATGTACCATCTTTTTTTTTTTTTTTTAATCTCTCTGGCCTGGGTCACATCCAGTCAACTGACAAATCTTTCTAATAAAACTTTAAACTGTTTGGAGGCAGGTTATGTTTGATACAACCAAACACTTCAGTGAAGGAGCTGTAAAGAGGAGAAATCAGGAAAGGCTAAAATTACAAGAACTGGAGGAAGAAAGGAAAAAAGAAAAGAGAAGAGAAGAGGAGGTGGCTGAAAGGTGAGTAGACTGATTTTAGGTAAGGAGGGTTTTTCTTTTGATTTGTAGATTGATTCCTTTGGGTGAATAGCTAAACATGATAGATAACATTGAGGTGGGGGACAGATATTGGTATAGACTGCAAAACTCTATTGAAGGTTAAAGTCTTTAAATTGTGCTGTAATGAAACCAAAATGATGAAACAGTTGAAAACAAGAGACTGGAAAAATATGTCTATAAATGAGAATAAGCAATAAGGAATTATGGGACTAGCCAGATTAAGATGCCTGGAAAGAAATTATTTTTAAAAGAAGGCTCAGGGAGTCTTATAGTAAAAATTCTAACCTAGAAAATTAGAAATTTGAGTAATTTACCTATTATCTACCAATATTACTTACCAATTTAAAATGATGAATAGGTTTATAAAAGATTTTATTCTGCAAACTGGTCAACAAACCATAGGTACTGTACTCACATTTATCAGAGTAACCCATAGGCAAGAAAGTCACAGATTTGTTGGGGCCGTTTTTCTTGTTGGCTTAAATTCTTTCTGTGAATTTATGGAGCTTCCACATTTATTTTTTTGAGCTTATCGTTTTCCAATTTAGAGGCTTAAACCTAGAATGGGGTACTGGATTTCCAAAGGTTTGTCAAGGAGGTGCAGATGGGCTAGAAATATAGGGCTCTGAAAACCAGTTTTACCTCCTGGCCCCTCCTCTTGAATGTAAATTATAACATTCATAAAAGGAGCTAACAGTACCCTTCCATGTGCCCCTCACTTTTTGTCTTGTGGGGTGATAGGAGTTACTTGAGATCACAGCTAGGGAACTAGAACCCAGTCAAGATATGGTTCTCCTCCAAATTCCAGGTTGAATATCCCATTTAGACAGTCCTTTGTCACTTGGCTAAGTCCTGACTTCAGGTAGTTGCTCTTTCTTTCTCCTTCCCACATTCTCATAGGGACCTAACTGAATTAATTTTAATTTTCTGAAAAAGGCATTAAAAACCATATTCTCCCAAGCCAGTGTGTTTTTACAATAGTGTTTATGCTAAGTAATAGGGGCCAGGAATCAGTTTTCATCTTGAAGATTTTCTTAGTGCCTTGTCTTATCTTTAACTGCCTATGTGAAACCAACCCACAGAATATTTTAATCTCAAGAAAAATGAAATCACTTTGAAAGCTGGGTCCTGTTGTCATTGCTTATGGTTTGAGAGTGTGGAGGATGGAGCCCCTCTTTTGAAATCTGCAGCTTTCTTCTTCCTCTTTCTCTTCTTCCTCCTCTTCTTTTGATAGTCTATCTTTGCATAAGATTTCCTTTACATGCTTGTATCTGACCAACTAAATCATGTATCTTTCTCCCTTGACCGATGCTTAACAGTAATTTTATTTGTGTGTGTGTGTGTGTGTGTGTGTGTGTTTGTCATGAGTTGTCTGTGCTAGGTTTTGGGTTAACAGTGGTATATTCCTGGAAACCTAAATGATCTGTCCTTCCCTGACAGGGGAAGGAGGAAAGAGGAGGCCAAATGTCTAATAAATACCTTTTGAATGGTTTGATGTTAATCTTTGTCCAGAAAAAGAAAAGATGAGGAGAGGAGAGCCCACGAAAAGAGGAAGAAGGCCAGGACCAGGAGGCGAGCCCTGAAGGAGAGGGACAGCCACAGGTCAAGGAAGCAGAAGGTGAAGGCCAAAGCTGAGGCACCTGAGGAGCCAGACTCTCCAGAAGAATGGCAGGAGAGGAAGCACCTGCTGGCTCAGAGGAGAGTTGAGGCCCTTCGATTGCTACGGGTACTCCTGAGGAAAATCTCGGTAGGGCTATTTCCAAATTGTTATTCAGTTTGGGTAGGTATTAACCTTTCTGAGCTCCAGCCTTTTCATTTAAGCACTGGCTTATTGAAAATCAACTCATGGAAGACTCATAGCATTCACTGGGGTTGCTTGGAAATCAACTGATCTCTAATAACCCTAACTGGGAATTTCCAAAAGGGATATCTACATTCTCTAAATGAGTGGTCTCAACTCTGCCATCCTATACATATACTTTATATTTCTAAACTTCAGGACTGTATTACCCAGAGCATTTAGCTAGTTTATTGATTTTTTTCTGAAACAGAAAAATGCAAGGGGAAGCAATGGGTAGGTGTGGGTGTTAGGTTGCTGTCTTCTATTAACTTTACTTGTCAATTCATCTGTGACATGTTTGGATGTGAAGGGAGAGCCTGTAGCAAGCTTATGTTAGTCCAGTCTTGAACTGTTTGCTGAAGAATTTCTTATCTCACAGAGCATTTGTTTTGTTTGGAGAGTTTCATTTTTGGAAGGTGTTTCTTTCCCTTTCTGGGTTCCTTTTTTATTATTTTATTGTTTATTAACATTTTTTATTTTGCAAATAATATATATATATATATAAATGTTATACATTTATATAAAATATATATACCTAACAATCTCTCAGGTATCCCATTATGGTTTTAATGTGATATTTCTTTTTTATAAATATTTTTGTAGTTGTAGATGGACACAATACCTTTATTATTTATTTATTTATTTTTATGTGGTGCTCAGGATTGAACTCAGTGCCTCACACATTCGAGGCAAGCGTTCTGCCACTGAACCACAATCCCAACCCCTTAATGTGAAAGTTCTAACAACAAATAATACTGGGTATTTTTTCATATGCTTATTTTCCATTTGATTATCCTTTTTAATGAAATACCTGTTTATTTTTTATTGATCTTTTTAAAAATAAATAATACTGAAATGTATTACAATTCTTATTACACATATACAGCACAATTTTTCATATCTCTGGTTGTATATAAAGTATGTTCACACCAATTTGTGTCTTCATACATGTACTTTGGATAATGATGTCCATCATATTCCACCATCCTTGCTAATCCCCTGTCCCCTCCCTTTCTCTCCTACCCCTCTTCCCTATCTAGAATTCATCTATTCCTCCCATGCTCTCCCTCTCTACCCCACTATGACTCAGCCTCCTTATATCAGAGAAAACATTCAGCATTTGTTTTTTGGGGATTGGCTAACTTCACTTAGCATTATCTTCTCCAGTGTCATCATTTACCTGCAAATGCCATGATTTTATTCTCTTTTATTGCTGAGTAAAATTCCATTGTGTATATATGCCACATTTTTTATCCATTCATCTACTGAATGGCATCTAGGTTGTTTCCCCAGTTTAGCTATTGTGAATTGTGCTGCTATAAACATTGATGTGTCTGTGTCCCTGTAGGATGCTGTTTTTAAGTCTTTTGGGTATAGACTGAGTACAGGGATAGCTGGGTCAAATGGCGGTTCCATTCCCAGATTTCCAAGGAATCTCCATACTGCTTTCCATATTGGCTGCACCAATTTGCAGTCCCACCAGCAATGTATGAGAGTCCTTTCTGGGTTCCTAAAGACAGTCAGACTCAGCACAAGCCCTGGATTCAAACCCAGAAATACTTCCAAAGTATTAACTTAAAAATCCACATTTATGGGCTGGGTTTGTGGCTCAGAGGTAGACCACTTGCCTAGCATGCGTGAGGCACTGGGTTTGATTCTCAGCACCACAAAATAAATAAAGTATTGTGCCCATCTACAACTAAAATTATATTTTTTAAAAAATCCATATTTAGGTGAGCATGGTGGCACATGCCTGTAATCTTAGAAAATCAGGATTTTGAGGCAAGAGGATTTCAAGTGAGAGGCCAGCCTGAGCAACTTAGCAAGATCCTGTTTCAAAATAAAAAAGGGCCAGGTGTGGTGGTGCATGCCTATAATCCCAGTGACTTGGGAGGCTGAGGCAGGAGGATCACCAAGTTCAAAGCCATCCTCAGCAGCTTAATGAGGCCTTGAGCAACTCAGCCAGACCCTGTCTCTAAATAAAATATAAAAAAGGGGTTGGGGATGTGGCTTACTGGTTAAGCGCCCCTGGGTTCTATCCTGATGACCAAAAAAATAAATTAAAAAAAAAAATAAAAAAGGATTTGAGATGTAAAGAGCTCCTGGGCAGTACCAAAATTTTTTTTAAAAAATCCATATTTAGCATTTGTAAATATGAAGAGAGAATGTCATTACATAGAATTAATTTTATGTCTATTTGCCATCTTGGCCTTTCTCATTAGTATGGACAGCCAAACAGTGAAATCAGGACCAGAAAAATCTCACATTTACATGTATAACAAGGTTTGCTGCATTTTTTGTTTAACTTAATAATTGAGGGTTACTCCTTTTTAAAAAAAATGTGTCTTTTTAAGTGGGTATAGTGTCTAATTCTGGTCCCATTAATATTTGTACCAATTATGTGGCCCTCTGGTTTTAATCCCAGATAATGGGCAGGTACTGTACCCTGATGTATGATAGGTGTGAGTGGGAGCACAGTACAAACCCTTGTTGGATGGCAGTGTGGGCAGCACCTTTCACCTGCTTTGTAGTTATATAGAACAGATAGCATTAAGATACAATAGTAGGTAGACCCATGGTCATAACCATGTTTGCTACTTAAAGCTTTTTATTTATTTTTTATTGGGTTTTTTTTTTTTTTCATGATGCCAATGATAGAACCTAGGGCCTCACACATACTAGGCAATTGCATCACCACTTTCCTAGCCCTCATGGGCTTGCTTTTTAATGAAGCAAGTGAGGTAGGGCAACTCAGAGATACCCTCCATAGTAAGAGGCTGGGATATAAAACAGAGATTGTTTATCTTTGAAGCCAGTTGATTCTTGGACACATATTTCACCCATCAGTCATTTCTTATGCTAGGACATTTCTGGGAAGGCTATAAAATGTTTCTTATTTCTCTTTGTCTCTCCAGCTCCTATTATGATACCTAGAATAGTAGGTTCATCGATTTTTGAACAAGTGGAAAAAAGGGTTATGTGCTTTGAAAGCGATGTAAAGTGTGGTACCTTGTGATAAAAGGAAGGGCACATACCTAATTAAAGTAGCTCATATTAGATAAAGATATTTATTTTACTACTTCCCATTTCTTCAGTGCAATATTGTTCCTAATTTGGATCTATCCCAGGTATTAGAAATCTCTTTGGAATAATGTTAAAAGAGCCCAGTTTTCTTTGGAATTTTTTCCATCTATTTAGTTTCTCATATGAGATTTTTAATCTTTTCCTTTGAAGGGATCTACACAATTTAACCCACAGGAGGTTGACATTACAGGACCCGAAGCTATTTATACTCCAGGGAACACATTGGAAATTCTGGAGGAAGAAGAATTCAACACTCAGCATCTTCCAAATCAAGAAGAAATGCCAAAATATCAGGTTGCCAAGTCAGATAATAAACAAACACAAAAAATAAAGAAACGAAATAGGGCTCGCTTACGTCAATTTTCTCACTGCCTTCGGGGAAAAAAGTTAAGATACTCAACTAGAAAAGAGAGGACTGCAAAATTATTAACTGATGGATACAGATTGGTCTCTGGCCAGAATTCCTTGAAAACTACAATGATCCAAGGTCAGTCTCTTGAAAAAGAAGACCACCACAGTTCTAATAAATCCTATTCTTCAAGATTCTCTGAGAGAGACCATGGCAGGAAAGAGAAGATCTATGAAACAGATGAATTTATTAACTATATATTAAACTATTATCAGACTCCAAAATATGCCCGGATCTGTCTACAACCAAGTCACACAACAAGCACATATCAGTGGCACAGGGACGTTCATGCTAAGGGAAATGGATTTGAGATCAATTTGAGAAAACGCATGCCTGACTCAATCATTTGGAGTCAAATCGAAAACATTGAAAGGAGAGAACAGGTTCAGGAAGATGATTACTGCTCAAAGGTATGTACTCAGGATCCTCAGGATAAACCACAAAACAGGGGGAAAGTGGATTATACCAAAGAGTGCTCTAAGAGATTTAAAAATGATTGCAAGGATACAGCCAGTGAGACTGGTGATCAGCTGTCCCCAACTGATGGTAAAAGCCATCTCTTAGATGACCAGGTCCAAGATTCCAAATCCCAAAGGAAAAGTCAAGATTCTTCCCCCTCCAGCTCAGTAGGCTTAGATGTGCATTTGACAGATTTCTTAGAGGAAATTAGTAGTGATTCTGAATGCTTCAGTGAAACTCTTAGCATAAACGAACAGGAGAAACAGAAATCTGTGACCACATATCATGGTTCTCCTGAAAAAGGAAATCTTGATGCAGATGAAATCATTACCTGTGAAAGAAAAACTAGGTCAAGTCAGCAGACTTCATATTCAGAGTGGAAACGTGATGGTGAGGAAAAATACTCCAAATACAAGCTTAAGACACCAGGCAAGAGGTCTAGGAATGAACCGAGATGTTCATGGCTTGAGGATGAAAGCAATTCCGTTAATGATGAGAAGAACAGCAGCAAAAAGAGGAGAAAAATGGCCCCCAACTACTTGTTTGATGAAGGCTACTACCATGAGTCCAGTTCCAGTGATCAATTAGAGGACAACACAAAGAAGAGGAGGGTTAGTAGGAGTGCACTGGACCAGAATTTGAACTATAGAACCTCACATGTGCCAATAACATCAAAAAGTGCTAATGCTTTCTATTTGGGATATTTTCCCAAAAGAAGAATGAGTCCTTGGAAGGCAGACTATAACCAGGATGCAAGAAGGCTTAAAAGACATGAGAATTCTAAAGATCTCATATTCAGTTCTGATAATCATCATGTTAGACATAATAGTCAGGAGCACATTGACTATGGAAGCTATTTAGCAAACAACTACACTAGTTCTTTATATTTTCAAATGTTCTGATGGCTACTTTGATCAGGAACACTCTTATTTATAATAAATGATTTGGAAATAAGAAAATTTAAAACCAAATATAACTATGTAGTTAGTAACTACACAGCAAGAGCTTGAGCAGGGTCAAATGCAAAACCTTGTTTCTCTTTCCAAAGTGTAAAACATAGATCAAAATGACCGCAGGTGTGTTGGCAAGCTTTGGAAATATAAAACCTCTGGATCATGAGGCTTGATAAAGCAATGTGCTTGCAAAGCTTCATGATTTAAATATTTCTTTCTTTCTTTTTTCTTTTTTTTTTTTTTTTTGGTACTGGGGATTGAATCCAGGGGTTCTCTACCACTGAGCTATATCCCCAGATCCTTTTATTTTTGACTTTGAGACAGGGTATCAGTAAGTTGCTGAGGCTGGCCTCGAACTTGAGATCCTCCTGTCTCAGCCTCCTGAGTTGCTGGGATTATAGGTGTGTATAACTGCACCTGGCCAGGACAGACTTTTTTTTAATACCTTTAATTTGGTGCCAGTGAAGGAGCAGATTAACATTGAGAAGGGTTGAGAGATAGCCCTGTATGGCTCTTTTGCTGACACAACATCATCATTTAGTATCATTCATCTTCAAAGAGGACAACGGTGAACAAATAAGGAACCTTTTACATGTTTTTTTATTTGGTCAGAAACACCAAGTGCAATAACAATCCTTTCTCACTTTTATTTATTAATAATTATAGATAAAAGAGAGAGACAACAGCTAGAGCATAGACTTCTTCATGACATTAGAGAGTTTTTTCAGTATGCACAGGAAGGTAATTCATCATATTAATATATGTCAAAAAAACCCAAAGAGTTGTCCTTTTAGAGACAAAGTTTGGAATAAGAATTTAAAGAGGGCTCAGATTGTCCTTTGTGGTTTAAATGGTCAGGGAACAATTAATAGTTTTTTGTTGTTGTTGTTGTGTTATGAACCCCATATCTTTCCATCATGGAAAAGCAACAGGATTGAAGTGATATAACTAGAGGGCTTTGCAAAATGAAATATTCAATATCCTGGAGCACCAATAATGGCACTTGGGAAGAGAAGATATGACAGTTCCATTTCAGGATACGTAATTCTTTCACTCAGGGTTGGGTGACATCGGTTTGTAAAAAGTCACTGAATATCCCCAAACTGACTTTTATAAGACAGTAACAAGTGCCTCCTCAATCCTCAATTATGCCATGGAGTTAGGAAGAGTTAAGGGAAAAAAACATAGTTTTCTGGTTGTGGAAAAGTTGTATGTGTTCAGGATTTATAAACTCTATTTAACATAAAGAATTTATCTTTTTACCTACTCATTTTGGACTTCTTAAATATGTTTTAAAATTGAGACATTTTATAGATTATCTTAAAGACTTAAATCTTAGTGCAGCATATGTTCTATAGAAAGCTTGGCCAATGAATTCTGCCTTATGTTGGATTTAGGACCTCAGGGGCAGTAGATATCCTTTATTTTCCCAACAAAGCTATACCTGACCTGGCAATAGAAGATATCAGTTAGATTAGATACTGCCTGCACAGGAATAAAATGATTTTAATCCACAAAATCAGTGAAAGGCAACATTTTCATATTACAATTCATTTCAAACTATCTTAATTTGATATTCTGTAGAAAAGCACCAGCTAGTAGAAACAGGTAGGATGCCAGTCAGTGTGGTTGCAAAGAATGATGTCGCACAATGTGTGCCCATAACCAGCCTCTTGAGCAACCTGGTATCTGAAGTAGCTACAAAGTCTCATTTATCTAAAGAGCCACAAGTTTCATGGATCAATTTGTATTTTAATAATGATATATTAGAACATGCAAAATTCAGAAGTGAACACACCATAGCAGATCATGTCTATTACTAATAATAACTAATGAGTAATTTGTTGGCTCTCGTGCTCAATCCCACTTTTAAGCCAGTGACTCCACTATTAAAACTAGGTTTGGCTAATCAAATTTGAAAAAGTGCTCATGGGGCAAGTGCCTTTTCTCCTCTGAGGACTAGCAATGACTATTCATGTTCAAAGTGCTGTTGTCCAGAGTAGCCTTTTAAACATACTAACAGCTCATATTTTGTCAGACAACTTTGTTAACTAGGTTATTATCCACCTCCAATAAAAACCTGTCTCTTTATTTTTTCATACTTTATGTCATTGAAACAAAGAACTTTCTGGGTTTGTAATGGAAAATAGCTATGTTTGTTTTGGGGGAAAAATCTCAAATTTTTCCATCATTTGATAATTTTTGTCTTTGCCCAGTTTTTAAGACATGGAAACAATTTACTGCTCAGCAAACAGACATAAAAAATAAATTGCTGAATATAGCATGTGCAATTTTTCTTTGTATAATAGAACTGGTGCTAATTCATTTTTACATGGTATTTTTGTCTGGTTTGTTTGCTATATACCATCCTGGGACCTAGAAGAAAGTAAGAATACAGGTTTTATGTTGACTTTCTGAACAACCTGTATTTTTTATAGCTTGTGGTAATGCATTCTAGATTTGAGTCAATCTTTTTGTGTAGGCCTTAAATGAGAAAGACAACTTATCCTGTACTTTTCAATCAAGTGGCTTAGTAAAGAGTGAAATAGAACTGAAATTATTATAACCATATTCTCTTAATTGATGTTATTCTTTGTTGTGCTGTTATTTAAGTGGTGCAAAGTATTTTCTCATATCCTTTTTCTATGTTGTATTAAATAAGGGCCTGAACTTTGTCTTTTTAAATAGGTATTTTCATGTTTTTCCTTGTATGTGCTGCTCATACTGCTGTAAGAAAGCTAAAAAATCTGTCATGTTTTTTTGTTCAGTTTGAATTTCTCAGGTAGAAAGCCATGTAACTTGGTAATTTTGAAAATAGAACCAAATAAATGTATTTTTTATTTGTTGCAAACTGTTTAAAATGTTAATTTTTAAATAAATGTTGATAATTCCACTTTTGGGGGAAGTTTCTACCTGTAGAATACAGCATTGCACTAATGTTGCTCTTTTTCCTCATTTGCATTGTTAGAGAAATAGTGACACATTTAATTTTCATATATATTAAAAATAAAATTGTCATAGTGACTGTTGAGTCTTTGTTCATTTGCCACATGTATTGGCTAGAATATTGAACACTCATAATTAACAGTTTGTCTGAAAACATAGTGACCAATTTTAATATTGTTTTTATGCCAGTTTTCCCTTTATGATGAGTTCATGGGAACTGTGTAGGGCTCATGGTACCAACAACCAGTATTGTTTTCATTTTGGATAAATCAAAATCATGTTTGATTTGTAATTATCCCTCCTTCAGTACACTTTTTATCAGTCCTATTAAAAGGTAGCAGAATTGAGTATGAAATTTCATCTTATCCCCTCAGCACTGGGTGGAAGTGTCAAAGTTTATCAATACAAAAAAATAACTGGGTATGGGATAGGGATTCTAGTAGAGAAGCTAGATTCCTGATAATCAGTCTTTGATCATTTAAGAGTTAACTATATTTGTACTTGAAATACACAACAAACTGCCTTGAGGTATTACGTAATTAAGACAGACTGTACCTTCAAATCTGGGCACTTGTGTGGTTAAAAGAACTCTTCCTGAAACAGCAAGGAATAGTGGATGCTTGTTCTGGATAGCAAATTTGCATAAATTTGGCCCTCAGAGGTAAAGAGAATGTTACATTCTACAGAGAAGCCAGATAGGGAGATACAGAAAACTTAGCCAATGCTTGCTTTGAAACACAGATACAGAAAACATGTAACCTATGCTGCTTGTAAACCACAGATATAGAAAATATGTAACCAATGCTGCTTGAGATCCAATTCTGCACTGAGAACAAAGTGTCTCTGCAGCTGGTTGGGTGATAGCAGGTAGGGAGCAAACAGAGGTTACCCAGATACCTGCCCTGCTGGATGTATGGAAGTGGTAACAATCACTGCTATCTTTTCTAGAATTACACATTTTCTGTACTATGGCATATATAGTATGGACTTGATAAAGGTTTTGCCTCAAAATCCTGCCTTATGGTAATATCTCTTGACATGTAATCAACACAATGTTGATTCAGCTCTGAATGAAGGGGAATCAGGGTATTGGGATTGACGTTTTAATGACATTCTAGATGTTTTCCTCTTGGCATCAGAAAAACCTGCTAAACTGTGTAAACAGAGTAGCCTAATCTACATGTTTAAATGAGATTTAAGGGCTGTGGTTGTGGCTCAGTGGTAGAGTGCTCGCCTAGTACGTGCGAGGCCTATGGGTTCGATCCTCAGCACCACATAAAATAAATAAAAGTTGTGTCCAACTACAACTAAAAAAATAAATATTTGTTTTTTTAAAATGAGACTTAAGGCTACAAAGGTGGCCTAACTTCTCTCCCTCCACAGTTTCTCCAAAGCCGAAGATGCAGTAAGGCACCTGACATAAAATAAGCATTTGAATATTTCTTGGATAAAATAGTGTGGGGGAAAAAGCACATTTTAAAAATATTCATGCACTGTTGCAGTTAATAATATTACTCCTAATAAACCTGCTACAGACTTCAGTTAAGAAAGTTCAGACTCAAAAACAATTCAATATTTCTTTTTCTTTGGTACCTGAGATTGAATCCAGGGGTATTTAACCACTGAACAACATCCCCAGCTCCCCTCTTTTTAAATTTTGAAACAGTTTCACTAAATTACTGAGAGTGGCCTGGGACTTGTGATTCTCCTGCCTTAGCCTTCTGAGTCACTAGAATTACAGGTGTGTGCCACCATCTCTGGCTCAATTCACAATTTCTTAAGACAAGGTGATATTTGTAGTGGAAGGATTATACAAATAAAAAAATCTGCACTCAAAAGTGAAACTGAATTTTAAACTAAAGTAAAATGACTAAATCTAGTTTCTTTCTTTTTTGGTGCTTAACCACTGAGCCACATCCCCAGTCCATTTTTGTTTCATTTGAGAGTCTTGCTGAGTTGCTTAGGGCCTTGCTAAATTGCTAAAGCTGGTTTTGAACTTGCAA